TAATGGGAGTCTGAGTTGACACACTGTAGGCATGAGTAACTTAATAATCAATGAAAAGTAGTTATGTGCTAAGGTTTTGTTGTCGAGATTGTTGACAAAAGGATTGATTCAGACCCAAACACGAGAGAAAACAGAAGCCAACAATACTAACCATAGAATAACAATGGCTGGCGTTCTCTTTTTTCCAACCATAAGACCTTTGAGAAAAAGGATATAGAGGAGGATAATCCGGAAAGAGAAGAAGATTTTCCTAAAGAATAGTTCCCAAGCATCATACCCTTTGTTGAGAGCATTGGAGAATCCAGCAACCACACCCACCATGTCGACGATGAGAAGTGTTGTTGGGGATCAAAAGTTTTGCTCATTTCACAATGTAGAGTTCAGTCTTCAGCTGCTTTAGCTACCACGGTAAAGTTGATGTCAGTCCTTATCAACATCTTCATAAACACTTGGAAGACAACAAACATATATGCAGACGGCAAGCCATGAAGAAGAAGAAGACACGTCAATTTAGACTTCCATTAATAAGTTAACGGAAGTTAACAACCAAAGGACTTAATCAAATGAACTAATAACATAAAGCATCAAACGTGCTGAATTTTTTAATCATCGATCAAATTCGATCAAACCAAAAATAAAATGGGCTATTTGCATAGTTTACCCATTTCTTTTTATTTTTAGGTATAATTTTTTAATAAATGAAATTGGCCAAATATTATATTTTTTAAATTCAATGAAAAAATGTATAAAGCTTAAACCACAGTGATCAGTATTATAGTTTATTATTTTTTTGAATATATCATTTTATATTTAATGTTTAAAAGAAAAAAAGAAAGTTATGGTGAGATATTTTTTTATTAGAAAAAAAGACGTAAACAAATCTTTTGTAAGATTTAGCTTTTAATTTTAGATTAATTAATCAATTCAAAATATCTTGTGTTATACAAACCTATCATAAAGAGTAGACATTGCAAGCTTAACAGCATTACAAATTTTTAATATCTTTGATGTACTTTACTATTTTATTTAATGAAAACTTAGTTTTATTTTTTTTAAATGATTTAAATTTATTCTTATGTTAAAAATATCTATATTTATGTAAATTAATATTTATAATTTTATTTTATTTCTAAATTTCGGTCAAGGCTTAGATAAATTTTTAAATACAAATCAAGAATAAGTTTTGAGTGAAACTTGAGTTTTTTTATTTTTTTTTTTTTTTATGTTTTGGTTTGTTTCACCTTTGTATATTGATACCAAGACTTTTCTTTTCTTTCTAAATTCAATCAGGAGAATATTAATTAGAGGAGAGGGAAAAGAGAATCTAAAGGAAGGGAAAGAAATACTTTCAATGGATTTCAAACCAATGACTCAAGGAAGTACGAAAAAAAATAAAAATGAGCATCTTGACTTAATTAACGGACCTACAGTTCCTTGACTTAATTAACGGACCTACAGCTCCTTGACTTAATTAACTCAACTTGAAAAAGGATATACAGAAAATGCAACTTAGTCCATTCTCATTTCTCAAACCAAAGCGCAGACAGAAGATGACATTACAAAAAACTTCAGCATTACCACGCCTTCTTAGGCTTAGCCCACCCCTTCTTTTTTTCCATTGAGAACGTTACATTAAGGAAAACATAAATTAAACATTTACTTAAAGGTCCCAACTCAAAACTAAAATAATAAGGTATGCCCAAAAGGCAGGTCCAAGCCCTAACAATACAAGGACCTCATTTCTACTGGAACCTGAAAACCAGACACGAACATCGTCCACCACCGGACCACACAGTGAGCTCATGTCATCGGTCCTTGTATTGTAATACACACTGTAGAAGGCGATTCGTGTCCTTTCGGCCTTGGCTGTGAAGTTCACACTAACAACCTGGAAGGTGGAGTTAGAGTCGGGCGTGTAATGATAGTTTTGTGCCTGGTCCCCAGCGAACGCCATAACAGCCAGTGGCTCCTTGCATTTATCCCTAGCATGCCCCAAAGAGAAGGTCAAGCAATATAGTTTATCTGGTTTGGTTTCCACCATTTGAGAAATGATGCCTTCCTTGCCCGACACCAACTCGACGGCACGTTTGCCTTCCGGGACTGCAAAATGGTTGGAATCAATGTATCGGACTGCCCTGTTTGATTCGACCATCCATCCCGGTAACGGGGATGTCTCTTCGTCTAGGTTGGTTGGGAGCAAGACACCCAGAGATACATTTTGGAACATCCAAGGGCCAAATTCAAAGCCGCTATTAACTACTGCATTGTCTGAATATAACATTAAACAAAAATAAATTCAATTAATAACGTGGTCAGAAAAACATAATTATAACTAGAATCTAAGTATCCCCCATTCCTCAGAGCATTCATTATGGTTCTTCCATACGTAGAAAAATACAAATCTAAATACCGCTTCCTGTACATACCACAATTGTCTGGCCCATAAACTGTTTATATATCTATGACTACAGGCTTCGCACGTTTAACGACACCAAACATGAAGTCCTGGACGAAGGGAAAAAAATGGGAAAGTCTAACATGCAACCATCTTAATATACAGTTAAAGAAATGTGTTATCGATTTTATTATTATTTTTTTAACATTTTCGATAAAAAATTACTAAAACATTATTATTTCTACCGATTTTGTTATTATTAGATGTTTTATTAGTTTTGTTAAAATATCCGATAAAGCGCTATCTAAATATTATTTTTCCTACTGATTTTGTTATTATTAGATATTTTACCATAAATATTAAAAAATATAATTTTTTGATAGAAATAATACTGTTTAGTATTTTTTTACTGAAAATATTAAAATAATAATAATAAAAACCGATAACGTTTTTTTAATTTTATATTAAAACTGACATACCGTAGAATTAAAAAAAGAAAAGAGAAATTGAAGTTTTTTTTACTTTTACCTTTGGGCTGATCAGGAGTGACGAGTTTTTTTATGGCAATATCATCAATGATGGGCCCACATTCGGGGTCATCCTCCATGCCAGTGTTCGTAAATATCAACGGCACTTTATCCTTCTCCGCTTCGAAAGAAATGGAGTAAGGGTCCCATCCTTGCAATTGTACAATGTCTGGAGGTCTACCGTCTGTGATGCGGGTGGGACGGACACATTCAATGACTCCAGTTGCGCGCACGTGCGGGCAGCACTGAATGTGACTGCGTACGTGGACCCTTTCTCCACCGTCAGCTCCTGGCTGATTTCAGCGTCGTTCCCCAATCTTACGGCTTTCAAGCCTCGGGGCACGATGAGGATCATCCCTCCGCTCACTTTATCCCCGGACGACACCAGCTCCACTCTGCCTTTTGTTATCCAACTGGGGATCTCGGTGGGCCCATCTGATATTGCCTCGCTTGGAAAGCCGTTCGATGGCGCTGTCTCGAAATCACCATTTGCCACCAAACCTTCACAATAATAATAATAATAAGCAATATAAGAATTGAATATACTTATGACCACCTACGCACATGTTTCATGTTTAGTAAGATTTGAGAATGACGTTTGATAGACGGAATATTTAGGTAACTGTATTTTTTTTACCGTGATTAGAGCTCAAATAGATCACATCCTAGGATCATTTACAAATTTCAACTGGGGCTGAATCTACATTCATGTATCAACAGGCACCAGGAAGAAAACAAGACTGAAGCTTTCGTAATTTTTTTCTGCTTTATGTTATTTTTTTCGAATTTGCAAAAGTACTGAAGATGTTGATGAGAACACATTAAGACCGTGAGACTGGTTTCATCCAGCTTGAATTATTACCCTCTGTGTTATACGTGTGGACCCTACCACCGTTTCGGCCCATTATTTTATATACTAGTTCCCGGTACCTTGACGGCCGCTTGACTCAACAATGAATTAAAAAGTATTGGAAAAAAAAACAAGTAGAAATGTGCCTTATATATTGTTTTGGCTAATTAGAAGTGCGTGCTTATGACTGTGAGTGTGAATCTTTTTTGGGATAGATCTGTGAGCTGAGCTGGAAATTTGGCAATGTGCCAAAAGGACAAGGATTTGAGGGAAGAACCCTTGTCGTTTGTTAAAACTAAGGTAAAAGAGGAACATGTTTAATGCTTATTTTCAAACTATGAACAGCCACTAACTGTATGATTAAACCCTTCGAATTTCGAAAAGAAAAGATAAAAATAATTAAAAGATCTACAACATTAAAGCCCCCACATTTGGACTTTTTTTTCTAAAAAAAATCAAAAACAAATCAGCTTGAGTTGTATAAAGTTATTCAAGTCTTTCAAACACAAATCTTTGTAGTGATTCGAATGAAGCATAGGTAAAGCTCACTCTTTACTGAAAATGGCGTCGAGCTAATGCCTTTAGATGTTATCGAGTTTACTGGAAAGAGAAGAGAATCTTAGCGGGAAACGAGGGAATCCTTGTGGACATTTTGCAAGAGAAAATGGAAAGGAATGGCTACTGAAATGTATGGGCAATAAATTGGAGTCCATTAGTATAAAAATCGTGAGTCTATTAACTGCTCTTTGAAGGAATCAATGAATGGCAAAGGATGGAAGAATTAAACCTTTTTTTTAAAGTAAAATCGGCTTATAGTAAATTTGAACAGAAAAGCATATAGACAATCAAAATCAAATCCCTAGCATATGATAACAGATTTACCATGTCACTGTAGCTAATGTAATTGAAGCTTTTAACAGATCAACATAACGACAACCCACCAAGCATGATCCCAAAAAGGCAATGTAAGAATTCGACCAGATTTTCTCAGAAACAAAAAAGCGAAAAGGGAAATGAAGTTTAAGAGATGTTGTGGAACAGGAAATGAGCTGAATAAGGGAGATAAAGGTACATACCATCTTCAGCTAATGATAGAGTAGATAAATGAGCAAAGAGAAGCATAAAAAGGAAGACCCATTTGCTTGTTGTGGAACTCTCGGCCATCATCTTCTTTCCCAAAATCCCCTTTGGTTCTCCCCGGTAAAAGGCTTCACTCTCTGTTGTGGTGATGGATGGAAGACAGAGCAGGCAGTGTCTTTTTATCCAGAGTTTCCAGTACTAAATCGTCCTTTAGCTTTTTCCAGTTATAGCAATTATAGTGTATTTTATTCGATCACTGTTACTTTAAGATTTCAACTTTAGTCATGATCAATTTAACATTGTTTAACTTTTGGGTTAATTAGATTAGATTCTTTAAAGGTCAACTTACCTATTGATCATATTACAAATTACAAATTCGAAAATTAATTACAGAAAATGATTTGTGAATATGTCTCACTAAATTTAGAGAAGGCCCAAATAAATTGCTTTCAATTCGAACAGAAATTAAATAAACAAATTGAGTTTGTCTAATCCGAAGTCGGGCCCAAATAATTACAAGGAAGGAAAAACAGGCCTTTCAGTTATACTACACGGTTTCTGTGGATCAAAGCCGAGAGTAGGCAATCAGGTAGAGCCTGGAATAACAAAGCAGCAAAGCAACAATGAGTTCCTCCTCCACAGCTCTTCGAGAACTACTGCACGACCTCGAAACCAAAGCAAACTCCAAAAAGGCAGGCCAAACCAAACCCATCCTCATCCTCTTCTTTATTCAATCCCTATTTGCTTTCAAATATTACGATTAACAAACCCCCTATGGTTTTTTTCATGTACTAATTGAACGGTCGCCCCCAGATATAGCGAAGAACCATCAAGTCAGGAAGAAGTATACTATTCAGTTGGGAGAGAACGAGCTAGTCCTCAAGGTTTCGATGGGTTTTTGTTATTTGTGCTGGTTAACTAATTAGCCTTGACATGTCTTTTTTATGATTGTTGAAAATTTTCTTAGGAGTTGGATTTATTAAACGAGGATGCAAATGTGTACAAGTTGATCGGTCCAGTGCTTGTTAAGCAAGATTTAGCAGAGGCTAACGCCAACGTTCGTAAGAGAATAGAATACATCTCTGCTGAATTGTAAGATCCCTTTCACATTTCACCTCTAGCCTTTTCTTTTGTTGCTAAAGAATATTATGGTTGTTTATCTTGTATCAGTTTCTATTTATCTTATCTGAGGCTAAGAATAATTTATGGTGTTATTTTTGCTGGGACATTTTAAGGCTATGTTAGGCACTATCATCTGGATACAAAGGCGTGGCTTGGGTGGTGTTTGGTCTATGAGTTTTGATGTAAATGAATGGGTTTTTAAATGTGGTTTTCAAACGAGACTTTTGAAAATCGAGTAGAATGCAAACTGATCTAAGTTTATTATCGTTTTGCTGGAGATCTTCCCGTAATGTGCGTTTTTATATGCTTCACATCAAGCTTTACAGAGTTGTAATCAAATATACTTCCTCTGTTACTCTTTATTTTTACAAGCTTGGGCAATAGTACACCCTTGTGCGTAATGTGATATTGGGATTATCCTTCTATAGTTTCATGTATATGAACTTTAAAACTTTGTTTCCGTCAACAGGAAGCGGCTTGATGGATCTCTTCAAGATTTGGAAGAGAAACAACACAGCAAGAGAGAAGCGGTTGGTTTTCTTCCTTACAAAGTGCTTTTACTGTATGCTATATTGCTATTTAATTGTCTGCACTTGACTTTAAACAACTGTAACACAAAGTTTCCAAATTGCATATTAATACATATAAGAAATTTAACATCTGAGACTAAGATTGATTGTTAGAGTGGTTTGAGGCATTAAGCAAAAGGTCGATTGGTTCTACCTGCAACCGAATCCTTATTATAGTGTTTTTTTGGGTCTTAATGAGGAACTGAAATAAGTAATTTCAGTGGAGTGCTAATTTGCACTATTTACTTAGTTGGCCTTGCCTGATTCATCAGGGTCCAGTTTCATTTAAATTTGTTCTTAATTTAAACCTCTCTATAGTTTACAGATTTGTTGGCTTGCCTATTGCATTTCAGAGACTATTGTTTGTAACATCAAAGTATAAATTATTTTTTTCCTTTTAATACTGTTGTCATTTACAAACTGCTTCTTTTACACGGATGCATCTTGCGTTTTGTTTTTTTGTGGAAGTTGCCTACTTGCCTCTTCATAAACTGGAATACAACAATCATATAAAATTCCGTTGAATCTTTAAGATTTGAAATCAAATCGCCTTTTAGTATATTACGAATCCACTAGAATCCTTTTTCTCTCTCTCTTTCTTCTATGTTGAACACTAAGAACGTAAATAGATATATCAGGCATATTTTCTTTGTGCTTTTTTCTACCCGCTCTCATGGGACATTCCTAATTTATATTTTGCAAAAAGGTTAAATGCATGGATATGCTCTTTTTGTTGAGCATAACAAAGTATTTGAGTAAAAGCAAAAATTGAGTTTGATCATTGGTTTTGTGTCTGCTAGATATCGAAGGTGCAGCAGAGGATTCAATCTCATCAAGCAGGAAAGGCCAAGGCATAGTCCATCATCATTTGTTTGTCACATGACTGCCATCGTTCTAGCGGGATGATATTTAATGCTGTATATCATGCTTGCAAACCTCTGTTGGAGCTATAATACTGTGTGTGGTTGCCCCTTTAATATCCAATAGTCATGACAGTATCATAAGTTGTTCTAAGCAATGCATTTTCTGCCTTTTTGGTGATACTGATAATAATCACCACTAAAAGTTGCAGTTTGATGGCTTTTTCAGTTGTAGAATTTATGGCTTTGCGTACTGACATGGGTTGATTTCTTCTCGTTTAAATTATCACAGCACTTGCCACACACACACACACACACTCTGTCTCTCTAAAAATTATTCTCGTCTTCTCTCTTGAAACACTGCCGGTGATGGTGGTGCCACTGTTGACCACCACGTTAGAGCACTGATGAGAGAAAATAAGCTACTTTTAGGTGGTGGTTGTTTCGTGAACCAAATAATTTAGTTATAATGAGCTCTCTCCCCTAAACGTCTAGTTATTAGTTTTGAAGTCATCTACTTGTTTACTGTTTTCACATTGTGGAATCACTCCGATATGTGAATTATCCTTCCTGGTCATCTTGAATTTGCAAGTGGATGAATCAGGACCTTCCTCCTTTGTCAGCGATGTAGGGAGGAATGATGAGTACGTTCTTCACGGAGGCTGACTTCCTTTTTGACCTCTTCCCTGGCTTCTTCCTGGAACCAATCTTGAATTTTATAATTTAATTTATCCAAGATATATAAAATTCTATATCATTATAGTATCAAATATTGTTTTTTACTTTTATCACCTTCCTCAATATCATATCCGGTCGTTGAATCTCATTTTCTGATGTTATAAAGGCTGGGTAATATGTGTTGAAAATCAATTCAAAGTTCACGGTTGCTGCTTTGGTCAAATTTGGAAATTCATGGCCGCTATTTTGGTTCAAATTGGGTGGCTAAAATGGTTGAAAATTAAGGCATAATTGCAATTTTAGTCATTGTAATTTTAGAGTATTTATAAGATTAGTCCTTAAACTATAAATACCCTAGCTCATTTAGCTTCAAAATCATCCCAAAACATTCTAGTTTTCTTCCAATACTAGAGAAAATTTAGAGAGTTTCTTGAGAGTTGTTTTCTCCTTTTTATCAAGAGAGAATTATCATTGTTTTCTCCTTGGTAGATCGAGAGAAGTTGTAATTCCTATTTTCTCATAGTGAAATTCTTCTACCGTTGCCCGTGGTTTTTACCCTATATTATTTAGGGGTTTTTCACGTAAATTTTGTCTCTTTTATCTTCATTTTTACTTTCTCAAATTATTAGTTGCGATTTTGCTCTATCTAATAGTCGTCTTCCGCAACAATTGGTATCAGAGCCAGATTAGAGTGTGTAATATCTGTTTATTGTCTTTGTGGTTGCCACCAAAAGGTGGATCCTCCAACATAAGAAAGTAAGAAGTTATTAGTCATTCTTTGAAGGTTCCAGAGAACTATTCACGCTAGTGAAATAGTGGGAGCTATTCATAAAAGAAGTTATGGCAACGAAATTTGATATTGAAAAATTCAATGGGAGAAATTTCTCATTGTGGAAATTGAAGATGAAGGCAATTTTGAGGAAAGACGGATGTCTAACAGCTATCAATAAAAGGCCGGTAGATTTTATAGATGACAACAAATGGATCGAAATGGACGGGAATGCTATGACAAACTTTCATCTACCATTAGCAGATGAAGTATTGTCAAGCATCGAGGAGAATAAGACAGCTAAGGAGATATAGGATCATCTCATCAAATTTTACGAGGCCACATCGTTGCACAATAAAATTTTCCTTAAGAGAAAACTATACACTCTCCGGATACCAGAATCTACTTCAGTGACGGAGCACTTAAACACGTTGAACACTTTATTTTCTCAGCTTACATCCTTAAGATGTACAATAGGAGAACAAGAACGTGCTGAACTTCTACTTCAAAGTCTACCTGATTCGTATGATCAACTCATCATCAACTTGACAAACAGTAATGTCACCAGTCTAGTCTTCGATGACATTGCAGCTGCTGTTCTACAAGAAGAAAATTGGTGCAAGAACAAGGAAGACAGACAAGTAAATCTGCAACAAGCAGAAGCATTGACAACGATGAGAGGGAGATCAACGGAACGTGGCCAAAGCAGTAGTCATAAACATGGTAGATCGAAGTCGAGGAGCAAGAAGAATTTAAAGTGCTACAACTGTGGAAAGAAGGGTCACTTGAAGAAGGATTGTTGGAGTCTAAATAAAAACTCTAATCCACAAGGCAATACCGCAAACACTTCAGATGATGGAGATGCTCTATGCTGTGAAGCGTCAACCACCGTGGAAGGCAGAAAAAGATTTACAGATATATGGCTCATTGATTCAGGAGCAACATATCACATGACCTCAAGAAGAGAATGGTTCATGTTAACTTCCTAAAAAGGCTACTTTTAAAGCCTTTTTTCACTTAAGTTATTGTTTGTTTAAAAGCTCATTTTAGTCATTTTAGGATCATGTAGTTGCATTTGTGGTGGTTGTGCTATTTTATTTCTTAATGATGCTGTTTGAGGGAAAGGTGCAGTTTGTCTATGGTGTGCAGGGAATAGCAAGAAAAAGGATTCTTTGGGAAGTAATGCCACGGCATCACACGTTGCTAAAGCAGATTGAAATGCCTTGGCATTTCTGGCGCAGAAAAAGACAAAAAGATATTTCTGCATCAGGACAGCTGGCACTGGACAGCTGTCTCTGTACGTGAAAGACTGCTGTAACCGCCTGCCAGAGCTGCCAATGGACCACTGCCACTTGGAGGATAAGGTTCATGCACAACATGTGATTCTAGGGGTATGAGGGGTATTTTGCACCCAACAAACTCATCATTACCCCTAGATATTTTTTTTATTATATATGACACCTCATGAGAGAGAGAGAGATACGGACAGAGAGCACACGCATAGAGCAGAAAAATCATATTTTTTATTTTCTCTTTTCCTTTCTTCTTCCTTGGGATATTCCTCCATTGATAAAGCTCCAAGGAGTGGCAAGCTAGGCGCCGGAAGGAGCTAGCGAGCTAGGTGGTTTGTGGTGGCCGAGAGGAGACCTCCGGTGGCGCGTCGAAGGCTTCTTCTCACTTCCCTTTTTGCTGCTATTTTTATATTATTTTATGGGTTGTTGGAACGAATATTTTCATGACTTTGTGTTTGGATATTTCGAACCCCACCATGAACTAACTTATTTGGTGGTGGTTGGTTGAATGGTTGTTTGAACTTTATTTTCAATAGTATATTTAAGTTTATTTTTGGTTCTTTATTTGCTTTGCTTATGAATGCTTCACCATCTAGGCTTGTAAGAGGCATGGAAATGTCCATCTCTTAGATGAAGGTTAGGTATTCGAAAGAATCCTAAGCTAAAAATACTTGTAAGTATTCGGAAGAAACGCAAGATAAGATCCTCATAAGCAATGGGTTATGGTATTTTCAAGGGGCTTTGAACCGGCCTAGGAATATTATAACTTAATCCCTTAGATCTCGGAAGAGACTAGGATAGTATTTCAACGACTAAAAAGGGTGTCTTTATCAATAGGGTAGGCTGTCCAACATTGTTGAGTGAGAGCAGATGCCTTGGCATCCTATTCTGTTAGGTTCTTTTGAACACTTTAGGAAAGCCCTGTCGAGTAAGTAAAGACCAGTTAGCTTAAATATACTTGAGAAATAAGTTTAGCAACCTTAGACCAATCCTTACCATTCATTTAATTGGAAGCTTGTCACGTGAGGATTATTTTCTTCTTATTTTATTTATTTTATTTATCTTTTTATTTACTGTTTTTACCATTTTTCATTGCCTCGACATTTCACTATACTCAACATTAAACATCCATCATTGCCACTGTATTTCCATTTGCTACACCATCACACCATCAAATCCGCATCCACCAGCATACGCATATCCATTGCCATGACATTTGTATATATCAAGACTAACTATACTTAGATAATTTAGTGCGTTGCTTTGGTTAGACTTTCGTAATTTCACCCAATCCCTGTGGAGACGATACTCACTCATCATTATATTACTTGAGCGATTGTGTATACTTGCACATTATTTGCGTATATTTTATAGTACTCACAAAACGCGAACAAGTTTTTGGCGCCGTTGCCGGGGATTGGCAGCCTGAAGTTATTTAGTTTTGCCAGAGCATTTTATTTTGTTTTGCATTTTTATTTTTTTGTATAGTTTGCTTGATTTTTTGTTTTATTTTTCAGGTTTATTTAGTGTATGCCTAGAAGAAATTCTGAAGAGCCTTTGGAACCAATAGAACCTGAGATTGAAAGACTCTTTAGAAGAAGAAGACGTGCTCAAGGAAATATGTATCAGATTGGAAACCAAGGCATTGGTCAAGATGACGGAAATCAGAATGCCGCGGCATTAAACAATGCTGAACCTGCTATCAGGCCTCGTGTTATTCGAGATCATTTAAATCCGATGCTGGATGATCTGAATCCTGGGATTGTGGCACCCGAAATTCAAGCTGCACATTTCGAGCTGAAACCAGTCATGTTCAATATGTTGAATTCCATTGGGCAGTTTGGGGGTATGCCAATTGAAGATGCCAGGCAGCACATTCGCAATTTTCTGGAAGTTTGTGATTCTTTCCGCCAAGAAGGAGTGCATGAGGATTTTATGAAATTAAAGCTTTTTTCGTATTCATTGCATGACCGAGCAAGAGCTTGGTTGAGTGGTGTACCAGCCGGTTTGATGGAATCATGGGCTGATCTTTGCAAGAGTTTCTTATTGAGGTACAACCCACCAAACATGAATACGCAGCTAAGGAATGAACTATCATATTTTCGCCAGGGTGACGACGAATCCATGTATGAGTGTTGGGATCGTTACAAGAGTTTGCTTCGAAAGTGTTCAAATCATGGTTTTCATGATTGGACTCAAGAAGTCATGTTCTATAATGGAGTCAATGCACCCACGAGGATGCTATTGGATGCCTCGGCAAATGGGACATTGTTGGACAAATCACCTACGGAGGCGTTTGCTATCTTGGACAGAATTGCTAACAATGATTATCAATTTCTTTCCTCAAGACTTGGGAGTGGGAGGAGAGCACCTGGAGCATTCGAGTTAGAAGCCAAAGATTCGGTGTCTGCTCAACTCTCCACTATTACTAATATGTTGAAG